ATTTGTTACACAGAATTCATTTAGGCTCAAGGTTCTGAGGTTAACAAAAATGCTTCCTGTAAAACACAACTCATTACTGAGAAAAGTGAATGAAGAGCAGAATTAAAATGATTTCAGAAACTGTGGCTAAATGTCATTGTGACTCAGATCAGTGGTGTCAAATGGTTTACTGAAGCTTTTAGGACAGTGACCATTTTTATTCTTTATTTCTACAATGTCTAATACAACAGGACTCTTTCTGCCCCTGGGACTCTTATCATTGCAATTTCTCTCCATTACTGAAAAAAAAATAGGAAAGAAGAAAGAAAATGCCAGTTTTCCTTCAATGTTTGTGAAATATATGGCAAAGATTAGGAATACTTTCAAAAACTTTGATTTTATGTTTTGTTTAAGTATGGAAATACTGTTAATTTGAGTTAATTCCATCCATGCAAGGAATATCTATCTATCAGGTACCTAAGAAAAATTATGTAGCTTTGTTACGGAAGAGCACAGTCAACAAAATAAATCTCCTAATTTTATGCACCACTTCCTTAAGGCTGGAAAAATTGCTGTGATATCAGCTGCATCTTCACTGTTACTGTAGTAAGCAATATTACCCTGAAGAACTTGATGACTGACTTCAGAAGAGTTTAGTGCCAATTTAAATAAGGTTTTCATCTCTTCTTGACTGTGAAGGACTGCACTGATTAAAATGTCCACAGGAAAGCAATATACAAACTAAATTGGTCTCAATTCTGCCAGACCTTCTTCCTCATTTATCAAAACTGAACGAAAGCAGACAACTTCATTTCTTTCTCAGTTTAAGGTTTGGCAATGCAATTGCATTGGATGAAGCTACTTATGTGGTCTTATATTTATTGGAGATAGTAATACATGTGATAAAGAAAAATTAATATATTGTTACTGTTTCTTCTGTGTTTCCATTGTGCTTGTTAAGATGTTACAGTTTCAAGCACTGCCATATATAATGAACGTTTTTCTTCTTAAACAAGGTAATATTTTTTAAGAAAACACAGGTAAACCTCCCTTGTTTTATGTGGATATTTGAAATCAGAATCCGTTAAAATCCCTTGGTCCAAATTTACTTTGCAAGAACTGCCTCTGTATCAGTGATGTCAGCCTCGTTGCCTAAGCCTCACAAAAAAAGGACATTAGAAGAGAAATTCTAACGAATGAGAGGCAATAGTGTGAGATATAAGGACTTTCCTCATATATGCCTGCCGTTGTTTTCTCCTCTAAGGCCCAAAATCCCTACTTACACGTTTGTGAGGCATGCCTTATTGATACATCAGGATCCTGCTACCCACCAGTACGGCACCGAGCCCACATGCACAAGCTCTGCTGAGCTGATGCTGATCAGTGTCTTAGCATGAAGTAAAGCAGCCTGGAAGTTGCTTTAAGTTCCACAAGGAGCATAGCAAAGATAAAGCAAAGAACTCACACCAGTGAGCATTTTGAAAAAGCTTGGGAACAACTGCTCCAATTTAAAATAGCATGGGAAAAAAGGGAATATGATAACCCCAGGTGTCCTCCTTGCTCTCTAGCAGTCTGAGGCTCAGATGGAAACAGTCTCTAACTTTTAAAAGGTGATCACAGTGAGGGTTTTTCTCGCCTCTCCAGAAGTGCCACACTTTAGGGCATTGTATTTTATGTTACTATATTACAATCTGTGGAAAATTATCTAATAATTTAATGTATTCATCTATATTTCTTGATCATGCAACATCAGCCTCCTTGTCTATCACATGAGCTTTGAAAACTGGCCTAAAATTTAACTTCATAAGAATTACTCCTTTCTTCATGAACCAAGTAATTATCACCATGTGGACAAAAAAAATAAAATTAAAAAGCAGCATTTTAAATGTATTTATCGTTAGGTGCCAGGGCTGGTAAACCAGCTGGGGAAAAAAAGCCCCAGAATCTGAGCCCCCCCATGCCACACACTCACCTCAGCATGCAGTGGCATCCCTTTGTGGCCAAACATTACAGGCCTGGTCATGAAGATAAAATGATCCTTTAGTTTTGAAGAACTTTTTTTAGCCATTCTTTAATATAATTTTTAGTTCAAATTGTGACCAAAATGGATGGCTCATATAAGATAGAATTTGCAGTGTGCCTTTAACTTCCTATATTGTTAATATGGTACTATGCAAACATCTAGAAGTGAGAATGAAAACATAGGGTTCCATCAGCCTTGAAAGCTTACAGTTTTGATAATATGCTCTTTTTTTTGGCTGAATTTTTAGCTGAATTACTTCCTACTGCACACAAACCAACCTAATTATCTACCAAGTAATTTTTCAAATGTTAATTAATTTTTAAAATTTGGAGTCATTTTGGCAACAATTTTTTCATAGCTATACTTGGATACCTTTAATTGATTTTGGGTGGAAAAAGAATATATTTAAACACAAGACAACCTAATTTCAGACAAAAATCAGTTATACTTTTATCATGTTAGTGTTCAGGCTGAATAGCAATTTGAAGTCTATGAAATATTTTGTTACATTTACTTAAAGAAAACGTTATCAATTTGCATTAAAACTAAATATTGTGTCTTTCATCTTGTTGAACTATTGAAAAATCTGAAGTGGAATTTTCTGAAAGATGCAGAGATTACCTATAGTTTCTATCAAGACTCAAGTCTGGCAGTAAAAACTTTGTTAATTTTTAGTTGCATTTTCCTAGACTCATATTTTAGCACTGCATGTAGACTGCAATAACTTATTGGGCAAACAACACAGAACAATATTTTCAAATGTTAAAATTTAAACAGGACACCAAGAGCAATTATGAGAAGAGTATAATCCATAAAACTGTCTCACAATTATTAGAGATGGTGAAACACTACTAAGTCAGACCACAATCAGTGTATTCCACTAAAGTCAAGGTATTTGGAAAATGTCTGCTTTATTGCTGAGAAAATTGATTTCCTTTCTAATGGTCAAATCCTACTTTTCATATTTACATTCAATGCAACTTAGTGCCATATTAAGTACCCTACTATTAACAAACAAGTACTAAAAGAACTGATAAAAACTAAAAATATCAAGAACTGATAGCTCAGTTTCAATTTATGCCAGATCAGCTTTCCCAAAAAAGGCAAGCCCGCAAAAATATTTGGGGATTATTCCAGTCAGTGTTGGAGCTATTCTCAAAATGAAGGAGTGTATCATAGAATGTTTTGCCATATTCTTTTCTTTGTTTAGACTTTGAAGTGATGCATATCTAAAGCGTATTGTTACCAGTGATCCTGCAGTACCAATTCCACTTATGTGAGATGCGCAATATTTTGCACTTTAACACTGCCTCCAACTTACCAAAGTACAAAAAAAGTTATGCAAATTTCCTGCAATGCAAAGGGTAACATGGTTTTGCAGTGAAAAAAAGACCCTCAAGGCAGATCTATATTGCAGTTTCAAAATGAAATGGCTTGTTGATTTTCAGTATTCATTTATGGTTTGGTTTGACAGTAGGGTAAATTATTGGGAAACTACTTGACCTCTTCAGGTGTCTGTGCTAGCTATGCAAAATATGAGAATTGCTTAAAGGATAGGGAAAAAAAATTATCATTGTAATTTCTGTGTTGTAGCTGAGCACTGGAAAATTGTGGGTTTCAGCAAAATGCTTGATTAATGCTTTTACTAATAAAAGACAAAAAAATAACATTTAAAATAGTGTTGAAAATTCCACTCACTGTGAGAGGAAATTTTTATAATAATGCTTTAAACTGATGTAAAATCCTCTGATCCATTACATATTACAACAGATACCAACAGAAGACACTATCTACACTGTATTTTATATTTGAAAACTAATGGCCTGAAACTGCCAAGACCTGAGTTGCTTCTATAATACCACTCAGATGAATAAGGACTGTTCATGGAATTGTCAGGAGCAAATAGCGTCAAACCGATCTAATTTCCTTCCACAACATGGTTGCAAGCCTTGTAAACGGGAGAGAAGCAATAGATATTGTGTCTTAAAGCTTTAAAAACACCTCACCAAATATAAGGAACAGAAATGTGGTTTTGATTAAACTTTTACTTAGATAGGGTAAACTGGATGGAAAACTGAAACTATGACTAGAACAATAATCAGTGCCAAGCAGTAGGACGAGGCAATAGGCAGAAAGTGATGCAGAGGAAATTCCACCTGAATATGAGGAAGAACTTCTTTACTGTGTCGGGTGACCGAGAACTGGAACAGATTGCCCAGAGAGGTTGTGAAGTCTCCCTCAATGGAGATACTCAAGAACTCTCTGGATGCAATCCTGTGTCACATGCTCTAGGATGGCCATGCTTGAGCAGGCAGGTTGGACCAGATGCCCCACTGTGCTCCCTTCCAACCTTACTCATTCTGTGATTCTATGCTTCAATATTAGTATTATTAAAAAAAAAACAAAACAAAACCCAATACAAACAAAACCAGGTGGCATCTGTCTTGGCTACAGGTCTCTTTGTTCTTTTACTTAATGGCCCAAAGGAGAAAATGGGATATATTTATTTGTAGAGGATACAAATCAAGTCAGGACCAAGCTCTCGGCCAACCATTTTTCGGGCCAAGACGAGAGTTTAGAAGGCATCGACAGGCCGGGGGAGCGTTGCAGAGAGAGCCAGAACGACCCTCTGCGGAGACAAGTACAGCTTTACAAGGAGCAAGTCCGAACCAATTTGTAATGCGTGTGGTCACTCAGTGTCGATGCCTTAGCCCCATTTTCCTTACAGACAGCGGCAGCGAGTTGCTTTCCTTGCTGCTGCTTCACAGTGCCACCGCTTGTGCTCTCCTGCGGGAGGATCTGGGTCTCTTCCACCCAAGCCCGGGGCCGCAGCAGTTCTCAGCGCCAGACCCTCATCTCCAACCAGGAGCCCTCTCTCCCCGGGGCTGCAGCACCCCCTCAGAGCCATCCCCGCCGCCGGTGCTCTGGGCCGGGCGGGGCGGGCCGGGCGCGGGCAGACGGCGCCATCTCAGCGCGCCGGGGGCGGGGCGGCGGCGGGATGGCGGGTCCCGCCTGGTTCTGGCTGCGGGGAGCTGCCCGCCTCCTCCCCGCCGCCGGCGGGCGGGCTCCGGCGGCCCCGTGGCGCGGTCCGGGCTGTGCGCCCGCCGCTCGCAGCGCTCCGTTCGCCGGCTCAGCGGTGAGTGAGGCGTGAGCTCCGCCGTGCGCCGGGTCCGCCCGGGGCGGGAGGGGAGCGGAGCTGAGCGGCCAAGGGGCGGGCTGTGCTTGCGGGCGCGCTGCGGAGGGCGGCAGGCGGGGCGACCGCTGGAGTCTGTCTTGCCGTGGGTGCCCTGACGGACCGTGTCCTGCGGTGGCCAGTTCGGCAGCAGTATTCCTGCGGCAGGGGATGCGGTTGCTGAAGTCTGGGTCTAGGTCTAGGTCTAGGGCAGTGCCGGGCTGGGCACAAGAAGATGGGCTCTGCTCCCTTTTTGCCCGTCCCCGAGTCCACTCCATGGGAGTAGCGCGGCGCTCACCGCTTTTGGTGGTGAAACTGTGCCCTCCGGGAGCAGGTGGGACGCTGCCCGCGGGGATGCTGCGCTCGGCTGCTCACTCCGTCGTGCCGCGGGGCCGCGCGTGGCTCCTCTGCCGCAGGAGCAGGAGAGGATGCCCGTGGCACGGGTCCGGCGGGGACAGCCAGCCCTCGGGACAGCTGCCTGTGCGGCACCGCCTGCCCTCAGCACCTCACCTTCGTGCTCCTTTACTCTTTGCTGTATTTGTTGTGCCTGGAACAACTGTGCAGAAAAGACGGCTGGGTTTAGCCTCTTTTTTAAAGCTTCTGACTTTCAAAGCAGTGCTTTGGTTTATTTCAACACAAGTCCTCTCTTTTTTTTTCTTTTTTATTTTAGTTTAGGTGTTAAGATCGATCATATTTGAGTCTAACCAAAATGCTACTGGGGTTATTTTTAAACGGGCCCCATCCCTGCCTGCCTGTGAAGCAGGCTTCCTTTGGGTGAGCCCACGTGCCAAAGGGTTTTTTGGACCAGTAGTGAAAATTTCTCAGTGTGCAGGTGGGTTCCTTCCTGTCAACTCTGCGAAAGCTGCAGGTTGATGCATACTGTTCACTTGCTTTCTGGTTTTGTTAGTCCTCGAGCTCCGGGGATGAGTCTCTCAGGGACAAACGTGCCCGGATCCTGTCGCGCGGGCTGCCAAAGCAGAAGCCCATAGAAGGAGTTAAGCAGGTGGTGGTCGTGGCTTCTGGAAAAGGGGGAGTTGGAAAATCAACAGCAGCAGGTAAGATCTGACCTTTCTTAATAGTCGACTTTGCACATTTTCAGTACTTTGTAAAGAATATTTGGGTGCTTGTGTCATCAAGGGGTTCCACTAACACTGCCCTTCACCTCTGTCAAGTCCCATTGTAGCCGCTGAGAATCTGTTTGGGTAGAGAAGTCTTGCCTTTAGATAAGGTATAAATCAAGCAGACAGCTTTGAAATAGTATCTAATAGTGCAGTGCTGTCCTGAGACCGTCTGCTTTAAGAGGCAATGTAAGCTGAGGTGAATGGCATCATATGGTAGTGCAGTGACACTTCCTCTAGCATCTTAGGTGTGCCTGTACAGTGCCTCTCTGTGCTATGTCAGCATGGTCATGTGGTCTGTCGAGGACACTAAGACTTAGAAGGGGTCAAAATCAGGATTGTCCAATCTTCTCAACTACTTTTATAGCAGTTTCATAAACAAAAGGGGAAACAGTAGTTGTAAACCACAAAAACTGATGAGAGCTTTGTGAAGCACCTTGAACTCCAGTGTCAACTCCACTGTTAGGTTTTAAATTAATTTTTCTCTAACTGTGCAGTTCCTAGGTGGTAGAATGAGATAATTCATGGGTTACCAATACTGTAGTCATTTTCTTGAACCTAAACAGTGACGGCAAAATGGAAAAATAATCATCATGCCAGCAACTCTAGTAGCCTTCTAAGATGGGGTCACAGTTGTGGTGAATGAGGGAAGAGTGACTGGTTTTATCTCCCCGGACTTGTGTAAAGCATTTGTCACTTTCCTGCACAACATCCTTATGTGTGAACTGGAGAGACATGGATTTGCTGTACTGACCACTTGGTGGATAAGGAATTGGCTGGATGGTCACACTGCATCCAGGTTTGGGTCCCCCAGCATAAGAAGGACCTATTCGAGTGGGTCCAGATGAGTGCCCCAAAGGTGATCGGAGGGCTGGAGCATCTCTACTGTGAAGACAGGCTGAGAGAGTTGGGGTGGTTCAGCTGCAAGAAAAGAAGGCTCTAGGGAGACATTATAGCAGCCTTCCAGTACTTAAAGGGGACTTATAAAAAGGAAGGGCAAGTTTTTTACATGGGCAAATAGGCATAGGACAAGAGTGAATGGTTCTGGACTTGAAGTGGAGAGATGTAGATGAGATGTTAGGAAGAAATTCTTTACTCTGAGGGCAGTGAGGCACTGGAACAGGTTGCTCAGAGAAGTGGTGGATACCCTGTCCCTGGATGTGTTCAAGGCCAGGTTGGATGGGGTTCTGCATGACCTGGTCTAGTGGAAGGTGTCCCTGTCCATGGCAGGGGTTTGGAGCTGGCTGATCTTTAGAATCCCTTCCAACTCAAACCATTCTATGATTCTATGACACTGAAGGTAAACTTCTTTGAAAAGGTCTGTGTAAAGTGCTAGAAATTTGTTTAAAGATCTCTTCCTTAGCATCTAGATTGGGGAAGAGTCATCCTTTAGTTGAATGATGTCTACTGTTCATCTCCATTGGTTGTGAACAACAGACAGATGTAGCTCTTCATTTATCATTTTTTGTTTTGTGTTTCAACCATGCTTGAAAAGGACTGATTGTCTAATAAATACTACAACAGACAAACATGATACCTACACTAAAAGTAACTATACTTAGAAAAAAAAAATTCCTTTTTTTTTTTCAATCTATTTATCTATTACCCTATACACAGGATACACATACCTATATGAAGACATGCAAAATAATTAACACTTGCATTTCTTAACTATCAACGAAAAGGTACATCATTATAGTTCATGGACTGGTTGTTTCAGGTAAAATACCAAATAAGTGTTTGTCTGTCAACAGTTTACAAAATGAACATAATTTGTAAAGTAAATTCAGATTATTCTTTTTGTGTCTGCAAACAAATGTGTGAATTTAAGTTCTGCTAACCGGCATCTATATGTAATTTCTATGTAAAATATGACATACGTATAAATAATACTTAGAGCTGGGAGTTTGTTCCCATGCATTTAAAAATAAAAAATCAGTGTTCATCAAGCATTAAATAAGAGATTGGAAATGTAAATGAACCATTCAAATGTAGCTGTATTGGATAGCCTTTTTTAATATATTAATTCGTAGTACTGAGAAGAAAATCTATATTCTTGTTTATTATAATGAATATATTTGGTGACAATTCTGCTAACTCAGTTTGACAGCAGGAATTTAAAAGAAAAGAGAGTAGTAAGCACCTCTAATTCCTAAAGCACTACAGAAAATAGTCTTAGTGCTTGTATCTCAGAAAGCCTGTCAGGGTTCTTTTTATTGTTTTTCTCAGTGTAGTAATGTTTTAATTGCTCTGGATCTCCACTTCTGGACAAGGGGATCTGCATTTTGGTCAAGTTTGTCAGGGCTGTTCCTTCACCTGAAAAATAACTCTTCCTGTTTGTTGCATATGGCTTTCATGTTGTATTCTTTGTTGCTTCTAGCACTTTTTGGTCTTCTGAGATCAGTGTAGTCAATGATTAGAAGCAGTTGTGTTATAGGAAAAATACTTTCCAATGCATGCTTAAATGCTTCAGGTTTTTGTTGTTGTTTCTTTTTGTCTAGTATAAGTCTTGGATTCTTTGTTTGTTTGCTTTGTTTTCTGTCACTTTCCTGTCAAGTTGCTGTCTTTTTTGTGTTTTTGTTTGTTTGTTTGTTTTAAATCATTATTTTTTGATCTTTTTCTTCTGTTCCCTCTTTTGTGTTAGCCTGAAGATGAAAGTACTGAAGAAAATTGATACTGGCATGAGGAGAGGTCAAAGTGTGGTCTTGAAAGAAGACGCATTTTTTATTTCTTGAAAGTCTTACTATTTTTAGCTGTGGAAGTAGAATAAAATTAAAGACTGGTGTCCTTCCTCACACTGTGCTAATCCTAAAGTTTGAGGAAAGTAAAACTACTCACTATGTGGGCCTTCAGACATGTTTTAGCAAAGACCAACAGGTTGAGATTTTTTAGTATTGTTCAGGAAAACTGATACATTTTACCATGTGTTGACTTTATCGCAGTCATATTAACTATGTTTAAACTTTTTTTTCCTCTGGCATACTTTTGTTACGCATGTGGGATATACTGTTACTGAAACTTTTTTGATTTTGGCCCTTCTTTGCATGTTAAAGTATTCTGATAAATTCTATTTCCAAATATTGCTTACGTTGAGATGTAAGTATTGAAAGTTATCTTTCAGAGGTCATCTGAATTATCTATACATTTGTTATTGATGATGTATATTAACCATGTCACAGATACAGACACACTCAGCTGGTTCTGTATAAATCTGATTTTGGACCAAGAAGTTTTATTTGCATTGTTAGCTCAGTGTTCTGAGACTTCAACTGTGCTATTCCTAGGGCCAGTTGGGATTTGGAAGTTGGAAAGTACACAGTAATAAACCTTGCCACACTTGTAGTGATTTCAAGAGGACTAGAATCAAAGAATATCCTGAGTTGAAAGGGACCCAAAAGGATCATCAGAGTTCAGCTGCTAGCCCTGCTCAGGACCATCCCCAGCAGTCACACCTTGTGCCTGAGAGTATCATCCAAGTGCTTCTTGAACTCTTGTCAGGCTTGGCGCTGTGACCACTTCCCTGGGGAGCCTGTTCCTGTGCCCAGCTCCCCTCTGAGTGAAGAACCTTTTCCTAATATCCAACCTAAGCCTCCCAGAAACAGCTTCATGCCAGGTTTAGCTTAGATTAGACTAACTCAGATCAACCTGTGCATCATTCCTGATACTGATTGGCAGGTGGAGCTGCCGGTTTAGCATGAGTGCTAAACCCATGAGTGGAGAGACCATGGTTAGAAGTTGCCTGCTTAGTAGTTGTGTAGAATTTCTGGCATGTAGTGCCTTGCTCTCCTGCGCTCCTGGCTATGGGAACTTAGTAGTTAGGGCCAACATGAATGTTTAGTGTCAGGTTAGCTCCTATGCTGCATGTTTACACCCTCTTGGAACTGACAGTAATACAAAGACAAGGAAGCACAAGATTCAGCTGGGATTAACCATCAAGTCCTCAGCTAGATATCCTGCTAAAAAACGTAGGTTTATGTGCTATACTGTTTCCCTTCTTTCCCTTCAGTAGTCAAATATCCTTTATTGAAGAAGCATTGTGTATCATACATTAATTTTCACACATGAAAGCTGTGTAAGAACATAGATGGTATGAAGGGATTTTAAGACAGTGTCTTCCTTATTCAGACATGAGTTGTAGTTGATTTTTTTCCTTTTTATTGATAATAAAATTGGTTTGCTTGTTTTTTCTCCTTATCTGTGATTGGTCTCCAAGTTTCAGAAGATGAATTTTCCTCTGATTGATTTGGAGAATAGTTAATCAAGCATATATTTAAATAGCAATATGTTTAAAAAGAATAAAACCTATGTGCTTTATTAGCTTAGGGGTAAACAGAGGCTGTGTGCCTCTTAGAGAAAGCTGTACAGTTGTCCTTGTTAACACCCTGACTGTTTTGTTTGAAGGAGCTTACCTTTCTCAGTGCTAAGGTCTTCCAAATAGGAATCTGGCTCCCCAGCTTGTTCTCAGAACCATTATACTCTTCTGGTAGAACAAGACTGACTGCAGCTTACCTTTGTTGAAAGGTTGTGTGGACTAACAGCCATATGTAAAGAAAACAAAAGATGTTACCAAAGAAAGTTGTGTGTGTTGAGTTTCTTCTCTTGGTGTGTTTGCTTTTTTTTTTTTCCCCTAAAACATGTTACTGCTTGCATTATAAAAATTACTGTTTGTTTATACTGAAGCTTCTGGGAGGTCTTCCAACATAATTGAAGCTGGTGAGCCATTAAATTGCCATTTCTTGCATGTGCTTTTTAGTTATGGGAATTAAGTACCGATGGAAATGTAAAAGCTGTAAACAAACTCAGTCTTTTTAGTTGCTTCATCCATTTTTGTTTGTTTCTTTAGTTGTTACATTTGCTTTCAGGTAGATGTGATTTTGTTTTCTGATATAAAAATCAAGTGGAAAGCATGCGTTGCACATTGTTCCAGAAAACATCTATGTTCAGTGTATCACAAGAAATCAAAAAAAGTGATATGATCATCTTTCCGGTCACTGTGCTTTAATAGTTTGTGCCAATACTTACCTAAATTCTAGTTTTATGAAAGTTCACTGGAGACCGTTAGCAGTGAAGGGGGAAGGTTACCAGGGACAGGGTGAGTTTAGTTTTGTAGTACAGTGTCCACTTTTCAAAAGTGGGTACCTCAAAAATTTGTCCTTAATGTTGTGCTTTAGCAAAATACTGAGCTTGGTTTTATTTTGCAGTGTCCTCTAGAAACTTAGAGCTTGCAAGATTTTGCAGATTGAGTTTGTTCACTTGCTAACAAATGTTGACTGAAATGTGGGTGCTGCTGCCACTTAACCTGAAACTATTGTAGAGGTGCAAGAAGCTAAGAACCAAGATGATGACGCAATTATTAAAAAAGTGTCATGTATTTATATTATATTTTCTTATGTTAGTAATGATAATGTTCTCAATATGTAGGAATTCAGTTTACCTGGACTTAATATTTTGTTTTTTTCTCTCTTTTTCTTGCAGTAAATATAGCCCTGGCCTTAGCAGCAAATGATTCGGTAGGTGATCATCTAATTATCAGCCTTAATGTGAAATGTGTGTCATATATCTGATGGTTACTGCTCAGGGCAGTCAAATGTATTAAATGTATTTATTCTGACAGTTAATTTCTTTATTTGTTTTTGGTGGACTTCTGAGTTTCTGTTAATTTTTTGTATTTTATCAGTACCATTAGTAACTTAGTAGATCTCATCCTTTATCTTGGTTTGGCTGTGTCCTTTCACTTGTGTGTTACTGAGTTCAATTCTACAGGAATGCGTAGATGTTGTAGAGGATGCTTGAGCAGGTTGGATACACTTAATAAATAATTAAATTCTATCAATTCAGAACACTGACTTGAAAATATGGGTCCAAAGATTTACTTTTACTGGAGAAGTTATTGTAAAAATACTTAATATATAAACAGCTATGGAAAAAAAACCAGCTGTGTATCTTCCCTAAAGCTTGGAAATATATATTTTTTTTAATGAAAAAATATAATTCCCCAGTTTGGTATTGCTCAAACTGTTACCTGGACTATAAATAGACAGTGGGAACCGTTCAGGTGTAAAAACCACAGGTGTTCATTATGTCCACCTGGTGTTACAGACTGGGCAGGTCTGTACATTGTGCACATTTATTGCCACACAGGTAAACTCAGAAGCAAGCCTCATTTCATATATGAGGGTGTATAATGTAGGTTTTGTACTCATAAAACATTAAATACAAAGATTCTCAACTACTTTAATCAGATAAATGTAGCATCTTTTTAATGATGTAAAAGATGAGTAAAAAAAAAACAGAAAGAGCAAGATTTACATGCAATCTGCACACTTTCTGTAGGAATTTTGTATAAGATTAAAAGAAATTTCCATAAACTCACTTAATAAGAAGAGCGTGTTTTAAGTTGTTATATGAAATATGTACTGTTTGTGATGGCATCTGATCTTGTTATTTCACAGTTTTAATTCTGTATTTTAAATAGGTTGTTGGAGTAATTTGATTTCTGAGGAATCTGTCATCTTGCAAAGCAAAACTGCTAGAATGGTTCCTTCTAATTAACTTTAAAACATGGCATTTGCTGTCATACTTCTGTAAAACAAATGGGAGCCTGCAATGTGATCTGTTGTGGGATGGCCATTGAGTAGCTCCACAGAAACCATGGCAACTAATTGCACTTAACTTTCGTAGCAAATTATGTGTTTTTAAGATTGTGTCTGATACTTTTCAAACATGGAGATAAAGCATCTCTTACTAATTCTGGCATACACAAGTTTTGGGACTATGCCCTTTGTTAGGAGTTAAGCATCTGGCTTTAAACATAATAATGTGATATACCACTTCTGTAGCCCATTAAAACACTCATGAGGCACACAAATAAGAGAGACCATAGTCTAGAATGATTGAAGAGGTTACTGCTGGAGTTAGGTGGCAAATCAGAGACCGGGAACTAATTTTAAATGAAATTGAGCCAAGAAAGTTAAGCAAACACAGAATGCGCCTGTTGTTTCTGATGTTACGATTCTGTGTGAAGTCAGAGGCCAGCATCTGGTGGATGTTAATCAATGAAGAGCAGCTGAAATTGATGAAGTAGCTGTGACTTACATGAAATGATGGTCACAAGTTAGCAAGCTGCTACCTTGGTGAAATTGTGCATTGACGTAATTACAAGTTAGAAAATGTGAAATTAAGGTGGATTGAATAAACTCAACTCTCTCTTGTTTGTTCATGCATTAATATTTTTTAAATGTTTGGTTTTGTTTTGTTTTTTTTTCAAGATAATGATGTGTATGTTTATGTTTAAACTTGGGCCTTGAAGTCACTGGTGTGTTCATTTGTGTACTCACATTGATTTCAGTTCACTAATTTTGTGAGTCAGGCTTTTGAAGTGAGTATCTCTTGGACCTTGTTCCAGGTTAGATTGTCCAGTGCCCTGAACTGTAGAGATCATTGCAATGATCAGTTTTGTTATGGTGAATGAAGTTGTAGTGGGTTGATCTTGGCTGGACACCAAGTGCCCACCCAGCTGCAATATCACTCCCCAGCCAGAAAAAGAAAGAGAGAATAAGATAGAAAATGACTCGTGGCTTGGGATAAGGCACTTTGCTAAAGCAAAAAAGTAAAGCTTCTGTGCACAAAAGCGAAGTGAAAAATAACAAGGTTTGCTCTCTACTTCCCATGAGCAGCGATGTCTGGCCACGTCCTGATGAGCCTTCAGTGACTCATAATGGTGTCTTAGCAGGCAGCCATTGGAGACAATGGATGCCCCCCTTCCTTTCCCTTTCCTTATCTTTTATATCTGAGCTGACATCATATGATATGGAATATCCCTCTGGTTAGTTTGGGTTAGCTGGCCTACTTGTGGCCCTTCCCAGAATCTTGCCCTTGACTACGGAAGGAATGTTACAGTGCTGATGCTGTGCTCGGCAGAAGCCAAAACACGGGAGGGTTATCAACACCCTTCTAGCTACCAGTGCAAAGCACAGCACTGTGAGGGCCACTATGGGGAAATGAACTCCAGCTCAGCCAGACCCAATACAGAAGGAAATAATTGTTTGTTTGTTTGTTTTTTTCCAAAGTCCATTGGTGCCTCCTGCTGAAGTTTATAGTGAATTTCTTTGTCCTCAGATACACAGCAGTGGATGGACATTGTCATGGTGGCACAGTGTTGTTGGCAGAGCTGGGATTAGAATTCGGGAGTTCTAAGTCTTGCATACTGGTTTTCAGTCTGTTTGGCGTATTTTTACCTCATGGTTACAGAGTAAATAATTAAACACAGGATTTCATTTAGATGCCTAGATACCATGTCCAAGACAGAGTAGGTTTTTTTGTGAGTTTTTTTATTTTTTCTTGTTTGATTTTGGTTTTTGATTCAAAGCCAGGGAAAACAAGCAGGACAGCCTCTTATCCCTTCTTGGAATATTAGTTTTTTGGTACCCTGGGTTACCTGTTGTAGATGGATTAGTTAAGAAATGTATAAGCTCTTGGGCTTATACCAAGGTCTATAAATCTATACAATGTTCTTTTTGTGTTAAGAAATAACTTAAAGTCTTACCCTTGTGTCCTATTTTTAATTGCTCGCTTAGTTTGACAGCTGATTCTTTTCATTCTTTTGATGTACCAGCAGTCAGTTGTGCTCCCCTAGGAGCACTTGGGAAGAATTTTTGGGTTTTGTGCCAGGACGATTCATATTCAGACTAGAATGACTATTTATGAAAGCTGCCTGGCCAGAGACGATTTATTATAGTAGAAACAAGTTGAATTAATAGATGGCAGCAATAATAGGGTAAAGATTGCTTGTTTATGAACAGAGAATTTTAGTGAGCAAACACCAGCTGTGCATGACTAAGGATGGCACAAATCCAGTTGGGAGGCTGTGTGCTCGTGCTGTCACTATGAGGCAAGCTCCCTAGTCAGATTTCCTTTGACTTGCCTTTTAGTTCCAGGAAGATTTACATTTTTCATTATAGGATGAAATGTTTTTGTTGTGAAGGACAGAGAAGCAAGAAGTAAAACCATATGGAACAAGTTAGCGTGTAAGCATGAGCAAGTGGCTTCTGCCTGCAGTAGTGGGGATATGTGGTTAAAGGCAGCAGTTTTCACTCTTCTAGCCGAGCTCTGCGCCAAGGCATTACTGGGGTCATGTAGACTAGGACCGAAATTTGGGATGCGTCAAGGGTAGTTTGAGCTCGGAGAGTGGCCGGTGTTCCCAGGCCAGCCCGTGGGTTGCTGAGCAAGGCAGGGATTTGGGACCGTGCCCGTGCCCGTGTCCGTGTCCGTGTCCGTGCGCGCGGGGAGGCGGCGGCCGGCAGGGGGCGCGCGGGCAGCGGGAGGCCGGGCATGCCGTGAGGGGACGGGAACGGGGCGGGGAAACACTCCAACACCATCCCTGTGGGAATGGAACAACCCGCGGTAGTTTTCTTTTTAAACCAGAAAACTCCCGTGGGTATCTGCTCGATATACACATGGGCGAGTAACAGGTTTCTCATACATATATGGCAAGTTACAGCACAGAAATGACGAAGTTAGGAGCTGAGTCTTCTTCCCTATTGTTATCACAAAATTAATTTTAATTTCTTCAAACCGTGTATTTATTCAAACACACAGTTTGAAACTACTCAAAAGGCACCCAGCTTACTTTCTTTACTTTCCAGCTCCCCCCCCCCCCTCCCAAATATTTGGCTCCTGTAACTAAGCGGTTTGTCCACAGGGTAATATTTGATTGCTGCATTTGTAGATGACTTCACAATGTATATACATTTATTACTAGTAAGGAAAAAATCCATGTGGGAGGACAAACAAATCTAGAAGACTTCAAACAATAACGGGCTTCTTCGCTGAGTAATCATAGTGCGAAAGCAGGTTTTGACCTGTTTTGTCTTCCTGCTATGCAGCTTTTCTAATTATTAGGGTTTGATTTCTGGGCATCTTTACCTCTGTTGCTTAGAGAATCAGCAGACTTTAATTGCTGTAGATAAGGTCTTCATGCTTGTTTCTTAATGCTAAGAAGTGTCAGTAAAGGTGGAGATGGTAGTTAGAATTGATTGGGATTATTTTGCAATGACAGCTTCTAGATCAGCTGAGAAAATGAGGGAATAAAGCTTTAAAAATCTGTTTTTCAAGTAAAAAGTGAGTGAAATTAAGAATATATTTTAAAACATAGACCTCTTAAAATGTTTTATTTAAATCAGATAACTATATGCTTAATTTGAACAAAATTTCCCCCTTTTCTGTGATGAAATATTGCCCATAGAGTTAAATACCTGCAGCCTGTAGAGTTAAATACCTGCATCCTTAGTCTTCAAGTCATTGATAGTCTAGTGCAAATAGCACAGATACTGATGTGAAAGATGGAGCATGTTTGTAATAATTTGACATGCTGTGAAAGTGGAGAGTCATCTTGTAGAGATGGGGTAATGTTAGGAATTCTGTTTTGGTAATTTATGTTTCAGTGGTGCTATATTGAATTTTTTTTTTAATGGGAGACATAATGTGCAGGAAGGCCAAACAAGGTTGAATT